AGTTTCTGTCCAACTTCATTTATCTAAAATGAATTCGATATCTCATAATAAGGGCCTTTCCTCTACATGCATATATTTATATGTTTTAATCTGCTAGATACTCGAGTAACGATATTGGCATTGAAAAATCTATGGAAATTGGCAGCGATCCTTCAGACAGTGAGGAGAGCGACGACAATGACATACAGGGTACTAGCATTACAAAACTGATCAATTTGTATGATCCTAAAGAATTCGAGAATCTGGAAGCATCGACGGAGATCAAGGAATTATTTCAAAATATAATAAGGCAAGTATTTAGTGTATTTTCTGTTAAAATTTATAAATTTATTTGCTAATTACTATTTCAGAACAACAATAATTAAATAAAAAAATTATTAATAAAATTACTTAAGGAAAAAAAGAATTCGGTCTGATCAAATATATTTAATTAGATATGCTCAAATATGATTTCTCATATTTGTTATTAGATCATCTGGTACATGTTCACATATAATTATATCTATATTCGAACGCGACCCAAAATAAATTACATTGATCCCTTTATGATTTTTAATTATCTGAGCAGATCTGGATACATTCGATTAAATTATTATATCTAATTCCGATGAAAATTTTATCATATTAATCATATATAACCATGTAAAATTATACAGAAATATAAACAATTATGTTATGTATAACCCATTACATATAATTTTGTAATTTTATATGATACTTCTAATTCTTTTATATATAATTATATACGTACATATAAATTTCTTATTTTCTATTCATAAATATATTATAAATATAGTTATAACAAATCTTATATACAACATTTTTATACATGTTTATATATGAGAAAATTTATTTCAGATCGATGCTATTTTATGATGATGTGAAAGTTAGTAAAGCATTATTGATTAGGTTTATTTTATAAAAGAAATACTATAACATATTAAATTTCATTTTTTTAATAATATCTATTGACCAAATACAGCATGCATCCATTAATACCATATTCAGTGTTCATGGATTATTAAAGTAGATTCCTGTCGTAAAACTAAAACACAAAGGCCCAAAACTTATAGTTTCACAGCTCTTAGTTAATTCTTAATCGAGCTTCAATTTATTCCTTATCTTTTTCCAATTCTAGAATTGATAAGAGATGAGGAATAAATTTAACTTCGGTTAAGAATTAATCATAAATTGTGAAATTGGGCTTAAAATGTAGTACAACTTTTGGATGAGTGACGCTTGGATAGTGCATCTTTGGAGTAACACCATGAATAATTCTTGAATTCAGGAGGAAATGATTTTTTTTTAATTTTGCCGTGTGTATTCTGGAATATGATGCTAATAATAAAACTCAAACAATATGAAGTGAATATTAGATCAATATGAATATAAATATAACAATAATAATAATAATAATTTTATTGAGTGCAGTGGTAACAGAAATTATTCATTTTTGTTAACTATTATTAAAATTTTTAAATTATTTTTATAGGTTTTTGTGTTCGATCTTGCAGCAAGTGTTTACTTTATTAATTATTAATTTTTTGTGATAACACTTAAATGAAAGTAATAAAAAGTAACACAATTTTGTCATAACAAAATAATGTTCAATAATTTTGAGAGAGAATTAAATAACTACTACTTTGGTTGGAACAGAAAATGTTTTTGAATGCGATATAAAAGTTTCATAGAAGAATTAAAGTCATTTGGATTGGAATAGGAAGATCTTTCAATAGAAATATAAAGATGTATATTTAGGTTTCATTATACAAAAGTTAAAGATAATAACACTTAGATTATATATTCTTTATTTGTATGATTAGTATGGAATTTAATTTGTCAGTTGTTGATATATCAAATTTAAGAATAATACATATCATTAGAATTATTATTTATTTAATTTAATTATTTATTTAATAATTATTATTATATATATTATTTATTTAATTTAGTATAAGATTTAACTTGGCGCCAATTATTTATATTAAATCTTTTTTACGAACGTTACATAAAATTTTGGAATTTAACTTGACACCAGTTGTTGATATCATAATCTTTAATATGAATAATATCATTAGAATTAATATTATTTAATTTGATATGAGATTTAACTTCGCTCCAATTATTGATATCATCTTTTATACATATAATTAAAATTAAATAAATAACAAAAATAGTATTGCTTGCGTTTTACTTTTTAATTTGATAGAATTTAAATTGATTAGTTAAGACTATATTATTTAAGTTTTAATTTCGTACATTAGTTTTTTAAGTTTAATTTTTAATTTCGTACATTAGTTTTTTTCGAGGAATAATAATTTTTTACAGAGAATTAAAATTATACCATTATTTTTGGGTTAAAATAAGAGGACCTTTAATAAGAATATTAAAAAAGAAAAATTAAAACTGTTACTACTTAAATTGGAATAATAAAAAGATCCGTATCACTTAGATTCTATTCGAGAAGCACGTACACTTTTAGCGCCTTTTTTCCCTTTCTTTAAACAAGTAATTTTTTATGCAAAATACACAAAATTTTGTGAAATTTAACTTGGCGCCAGTTGTAACAATATCAAATTTTTTATACGAATGAAATATATATCATTAGAGTTAAGTAACAAAGATATTACTGCCTTTAATATATATCTTGATTAGTTAAGATTGCATCATTTTGGTTTTAATTTTTAATTCGGTACAACAGCTTCTTTCGAAGAATAATAATTTTTGATAGAACATTAAAGCTGTCATTATTTAAGTTGGAATCTTCAATAAGAATTCTTTGAGGAAGAATTAAAACAATTGTGACTTGAATTGGAGAATAATAAAAAATACGTAACGTATCACTTAAATTCTATTCGAAAAGCATTCTTACTCCTACAGCACAAAGTTACGCAAAAGTTACAGTAATACTGCTGCAACATTGCAGCAACATTGCATATTACAGCAATATTGCAGAGATTTCCAGATATTGCTGCAAATTTTGTGCTGTATAAGTAGCCTTTTTTTAACTTATTTTTTTTTAAGTTTATTCTGGTATCATACATTTTATATTACTCGTAACAAATGCCAGCATGCCATTTTGTTTGCATCCGATCTCCTTTAGAAATATTATGTTATAAACAAATAGAAATCAAGGTTAAATAGATCATTATCATCTTCTAATTTAGTTAAAAAATATAGTATTCAAATATATAATTTCGTTTTAATGTCCTTTCGTTAAATTATACAAAATAGAGATCGATGACAAATAAATCGCTTCTTTGTTATCATTTCTTGCCTTAATAAAATATCAGCGTATAATTTCATTTCCATTCGATCTTCTTTTATTAAATATTAAGTTATAAACAATTTGAGATTGGAATCGAATAGATTATTATTATCTTCTAGCTTAGTTAATAAATATAGTTCTTAAATAAATAGTTCGTAAATAAATAAATAAATAATTTCGTTTCCGTTCTATCTCCTTTCATTTAATTAGTTAATGACATCAATAAAATGTGTAGCGTCATTCCTAATACATTAAATTCAATTGACACTTGAAAGAGACAAAATTATATTAAAGAATCTTGTGATATGAACTATTTAATGAAAAACATTAGAATTACGTAAATATAAAAAGTGATCCGGAATTAGTGTTTGATTCACATCTGGTTTTATTCTATATATTAAGTCATAATCAAATAGAAATCGATGACGAATAAACTACTTTGTCATTATCATTTCTTAGTTTAGTTTTTCACAATTTCCCAATTTTCGCAATCAAGATATTAATTTTTAAAGCGTCGAATATCCGTCATCGATAGCTTGCGTGCGGGGAATGGAGACTGCCTGGCAAGCACCCCGCGCCGCGCATGGACTTCAAACTCTAAGGCCTTTTCTATAATAGAGTCGTAAACGTAAGAAATTAACCAATCCTACTCAATTATTTTTCTCGCACAATTGTGATTGGCCAATTTCTAACGGCTTACCAGCGATTCTATTGTAGAACTATAAATGTATAAGGCATTATAAAGAGTGAGTATTCGCATATTCATCATTTTTACTCCTTTCCCCACTTCTTACTCTATTCCGCTCCTGAGCTGAGAAGATTATAGTCGTTATAGATACGGTTGTTGTAGATTATAACTTCTAAGCTTGTAGCTTCATATTTATGTATTTCTGCATTTTACCATAAGATTAAGAGACAAAAAGGATATAAAATATTGAAATATTATATATTAACGAAGACAAAAAATTTATAAAATGTCTTGTTGCGTTACGGTAAACTATATCAATAGATCAGGAAAAGGTATTCGATTATTTAAATTTCCTGCGGATAATATTCGTCGACAACTTGCTGTATTGCTGTAAAATAAATACATGACTTGTGAGTAAACATCATTACACATTCTCGCAGATGAGAAATTTCAATCTTTTTCTTCAAATTAACATACATATTTGACATCTTTAGAAATAACCTAGAACGCCAGACACTTTTCAGATCCTGCACTAATATTACGATAGATATTAAACTGATTTTGAGAGCAAAAATGGAATGAAAGGAACTACAAAATTTCAAGCAGAAAATACAAATCATAACCTGCAATGACCATAACTCGTCACAGCTCAGTGATGGAATGGCGACAAAGCAGGGAATGGAAAAAAGAATAAAAATGGTGGACCTACGTTTCTAGAACTCTAGTAGAACATAAATGTCACAACTTGAACGCAAGCATCTGATCAGCGCCTCTAGCGCTATTTAACGCCAGACGTACATCTGTTAGTCGACGTTAATAATGATAATGATGATGTTTTTTAAAATGATGATAAATTTTAGAAATTCAAAAGTTTACGTCGCAATATCTCCATTCGTAGGACATTTAGAAAAAAAATAAAAACATATTTGTTATACAATCCGAGCAGCAGCTATTGATTGAGCGTATATAGAACTTTATCAGTTCAGCCGTTATTGAGACCATGTCTCCAGATCTGCCGCAACTCACCGGCTACTTTCCTTACCTTACTCGCGTAAAGGAGCACAGCAGTGTCTCGCGCTATGATACTTCCCTTGTCTTAGCGCCAAGATACTACCGCGTCTTCAGATATACATCAAATTTTAAATAAGAAAAACTCCATACATTCGATCAAATGGATCTTAGTGCTTAAATCATTTCTTTTTAGTGTTTAATTAAAATTTTTTGTAAATTTATACACAATCAAATGATTGATCTTAATTGTCAATCTATCCAGGTATACGCCACAGAAAATCGAGCTTAACTACAAGTTGATACCATTTATTCCTGACTACATACCGGCCGTCGGCGATATAGATGCCTTCATTAAGATACCGAGACCTGACGGAGTCGAAGATAAAATTGGCCTAACTGTATTAGACGAGCCCTGTACTGATCAATCGGATCCAGCGGTGCTGCATTTGCAATTACGCAATCATTCTAGGAGTGCCGGCGCTGCCACGAGACAGGCGTTCGTCAAAAGGATAGAGGATGCTGAGAGAAATAGCAAGTCAATTGATAAATGGATTAATGATATGAATCAGCTACACAGGAGTAAACATCCGCCGGGTGTGCAACTGAACCATGCGATGCCAGACATCGATGGATTGATGCAGCAGTGGCCGCTTCAAGTGGAAGAAAAACTAAATGAACTACAACTGGATCTATCAGAGCTTGATTGTGATCTGCCGCAATTGGTCGATGTGGTCTGCAATCTTTTGGACATTCCCACGCGAGAGAACACCCGACTAGAGGCTCTTCACACGCTATTTACATTGTACCTGGAGATTAGAAATGTTGAAAACCGAAACTTCAGTTAGCATTAAATAATTAAATTAGTTTGTATTTAAGTTGTAAGAGTTAATTCTAATCGATATTCATAATTAATTCTTATCCAAATAAAGAATAGATTGAAATGGATTGAAATGTGTTGTGTGTTTGTGACACTGGTGTCTCATACGCCAAGGCGGCATGTAATAACAATGACTCTCTTTGTTGTAATGAATCGAACTTTTATTGTTGAGTCAAATTTAAGATGTATTCAAAGCGGGCGGTAAGCGAAGCTTAGACCGATAACTTGTGTATTCGTTAAGATGCGTGCACCGGTAATTCACACTTGGTAGTCGACGTCGAGTGATTTGTCAGTTCGGAAGAAAGTATATTGCGCATGGTAGCGAGACCGGCAAATCTTGGAAACTTAGCAATTCGCACACATTGCCTGTCCTCGCGGTGTGCGTATACTGAGAACGTTAGGTAACAAAATGCAGCGACAGAACACCGGGGTAGTTCGCATTTCGGTTTTGGGATAAGAAGTATTAATGAATAGATGATCCGTATTGATCGGGATCGGGAAGCGAACTGATTTCTCGCACGCGGAATGTGTGTGCGATCGTCATCTTTTCGAGTGTCGTGTACGGGGGGGGGGGGCGTGATTAGAGCGAGAACACGCTTGTTTGAATGGTGACAGCTCTGTGAGCGTCGATTTATTCATCGTCATCGAGAATACAAATCAACGATTCCGAACGAGAATACAATTCAAATCAACGATTCCGAAACAAAATGGATTCAGATTTTCAGAACGCATTCATGAACGTTAAAATAAATCTTTCTAAAATAAATTCGAATGCATTTATTTATAAGAATTACATCACATTTCTATGTTTTTCAATCTAAAAATAATATCAGTTTTTCAATGCATAGTAAATACTGTTCAATTCAAAATTTTAAATAGAAAATGCAGTTTTTTTAATTCAATTGAATCTAATTAAATTTAATTGAATTCAACTGAATAATAACAATTTTTTGTTCAATTGGATTTATGGACTAAAATACCCATAAAAATAGTAATCTATTTTAATTTATTCTCCATTACTGTGATATATTCAAAACTATCTTCAGTAAAGTCTAACCTGTCAAACCAATCGGAGAATTGTATTATAGTATCTTAAAACATAACTTAAGACGGTCTTGAACTAAAAACGGACTATGAATATCGGCCTAGGATTCGTTATATTTGTAACTCAATATGAATTCCACATATTTGCAGTGCATTCCGTTTCACGCATGATGTGTTCACCGAGTATTAAAAGAAATAGTATGATATATCATGCGCATCATAAGTGAAATGGAACGTATTTTTAGTCAAGATAGTAAGAACGTAAGATATGTCTGTAAGTTGTAATTATATCTTGATCGTTTATTATTATATATTGATTATCTTTCAAATATCTATCCTAATATTTATAAAGTTAAATACAAATTCAAAAAATTAAGTTGCCTGGAGAAAGGAAAAAATTACTTATAATTAAGTAACACCGACAAGATACTATTAAAGACGCCTGTCAAAAAATTTTTGTGACTGTTAATTAGAAAATTACATTTAAAATTATTACATAAAAAATTATATTTTTTTTCTACAGTTGTTACCTCTATTGATAATCAAATAATAATCTAATAATAACATTAAAATCAGTTTAAAAATAAACATCAAGTAGTTCCAGGTTCAAATCCTGCTAAGAAAATATTTTTCGCAATAAAAAGTTTTTTATTTGAAATAGGGGGGTGGGATTATATATACAAGTGGATGTCCGAGTGTTTTGGCTCGCAATTATTAGCATCTCAAATCGATTATGTTTAAATGTTCGAACGTTTTGTCGCACAGTCATATTTGAAATAAATTAAATTCATGAACCAAAAATATTATGTTATTTAAAACATCTTTGATCCTAGGTGTCCTCTACTATATTTGTGTTGAAACATCAAGTATTTTATATATACAGTATCCCATTTTAAATAATGCATTAAAATTTCGAAAATTATGATACGAAAAAACGTTTCTAACAAAAATTGTATGATTCGATGAGAGGGCGTAAAAAGGTATCATTGATTTGATTTTGGGTGGCGTCGCCGAAATCAGGTCTCAAGATCATATCGATTTTTTTTAATAGAATACCCTATTTTAATAGAATACCCTATTTTTGATGGCAGAATCTAATAATTGTATCGAAATCTTTTCAAAACGCTATAAAAAAATATTGTTTCATTAAGTACTTTTTAAGTTATGATGCTTGAAAATTACAATTTCGCTGGCATTATAACATTACTCAAGGTATCCTACTGACAGCTAAAATTTCTTGAATGCTGTTCAGGATCATGTCTAGGATATCATTTATCAAGATCAAAACCAATGGAAGTTATTCCTTTTATTTTCATTTTTACGTAAAAATGAATTTTTAGTAAAAATGAAAATAAGAGGAATAATAATATCCAATGGCCTTGACAAATGTTATCTAGGACATGATCCTGAATTCAAGAGGTTTTAGCTGTTGGTCGGACATCTTGCGTAATGCTAGTGCCATATTATTGCCGTAGTATTGTCTGTCTAACTGTCTAACTTTCAAGTCTTGTAACTCGAAAAGTACGTAATGAAAAATAACTTTATTAATATTTAGTATTTTGAAAAGCTCTTAATATCAGTGATTAGATTCTGTCATCAAAAATAAAATATTAAAAAAAATCAGTGTGACCTTAATCTGACCTTGGCAACCACTCAAAGTTAAATCAATGATACCTTCTTAGATCTCCCTCAGTACAACTTTTGTTTGAAACATTTTTCCGTATCTACTATATTTTTCGAGAAATCTTAATGCATTATTTAAAACGGAACCCTGTATATACAGAATTAGAGCTACCTAGAACCGGCCAAATAACACTCACAATTTTGGAAATAGAAAAAAATGTTTCAGATGAAAGTGAAACGATTTCAAGAGAAACGTTTTGAAGGTCATGTTGTCTTTCTTCTATCTTTGGTGTCTTGGTGAAGATACCAAAAATATATGAAAGTCACCTTCAATTTTTTAAGTGAAATTGTATAATTTTTTTTATGTAATATGATTTTTCTAATTATTCTATTGTACATATAAAAATATTAGGGTAGAGATATCGAAAAACTAATAGTTTATGAGATATTTTATATTCTGGCAGAAAAATATGTATGCAAAGTGAATAATTTTTTAAATAAGCGACTATATTTTCTTTCCATCAATTGATACATTCTCTCAATTGATACTCATTATTCTATTCATAAAAATATTGTTATGTCTTTTGGAAATTTTAAATTTATGATCTTATTGGAGAGAAGAGGAGCGGAAAAGGTGAGAATATTTGGAAGAACGGTCAAACTCTTGTCTAGCAGATATCCGCACAGAGAGGAGTACCGCGAGTCGAACGCACTCTTTTGTGCTCGCCTCGGAATATAGATCAACGTCCCGCAAAGATGCTATGACACTTTTCTACGAGCGATGCTATCTCGTCGGTCCAAATCAAGGAATCTAATCCTTTTAACTCGGGAGTGAACCACGATCTCTGAAAAGGCAAAGGTAACGATTATGAGACCTTAGGAATTTAAATGTAGGGAACGAGAGAGATATAAAATTATTAACATTGTTTATTATTACTAATCATTACAAATCTATCATTAACGAATTACAGTTTAATACAATTACAAAAAAATAAAGAAAAAGATTATACATTAATAAATTTATTATTACGAACTAATTTACATATTAATTAATATGATTACTACAATATAATAAAAACAAAGAAAAATTTACAAATTGACGAGATAATTATTATTAATTATTATAATATTTACATGTTATTAAATTGCCAGAAAGTGAAGTTTCAAAGGCGAACAAAGCTGACAGGTTTTTGTTTATTCTTCGCATATAATAGGAGGAAGGAGGAAAAAGATTGAAGAAAAATTCCATTTGAACTAAATATGAATAGGCGGAATTCGAAATAAACACTGGAATAGGAACGAGGAAGTTGGCCGGTTATTCCACGCCGGATTTCTCTGGATCAAAATTATCTTTTAAAGTGGTTTGATGGTAGCCCTGATCTCGGTACAATCAGCGAGATGTTGGATCGAAAATGCTGAACTGTACTCTATGTACAATATGTTATTTGACTAACTAAACGAATATAGTGAAGATAAAGACTGATAGACTGCAAAAATGACTTACTCATTGAAAACCAGAACCGAACACGGAATAAGAACAGAAAAATAATGAGAGCTTTAAAAGTTTATATTGAGAGTTTTGAAAGATAGTTCTCTGATAGCACGTATTAAGTTGGAAAATCGGGGATTCGGGTTAGAAAGATTTTTCTACTTTTGATAGGAAATTTATTTCTTGCGAAATTTATTTCCTACTGGCGAATCATTTTCAAAATTTGCTCCGCCCGCACTACAAATTTCAATCTCTTGAGAATTTATTGATAATACGTTACCTTCTCTAGGTTTCAGATCTACAGTCATCCATTGGCGAATTTAATTTTAAGCTTCTCTTTTTGAAGAGAGAGGATATTTCACTCATCGTCCCTTTCGAACTTGGTTATGATTTATTCGAAAACTCACATTTCCTCTCTTTTCTTATCTCCGGTTTCTCTTTTGTTAGATATTTGAACGTGCGTTTTCTTGTCTAGATAATATTTGCTCCAAATTTTTATGATCAGCAAAAAATTAAAATCTCTTCTATCATGATATATTTAACGTTTCCTATTCCTGTCATGATATATTTCCTGTTGTTGACGAGAAAACAGCCTTCAACATGTTGTTACGCGTTTAGAAATGTAACTTTTTATTTACTCAGAATCTCTGATTCGCATTTAAATATTGTTTACTGAAACTGAACATGTTCAAACCAAACTTTCTTAACATAGTTTGTAATCTTGTCGTAAATTTTATTACCATGGATCAGGAAATTCTGGGTATCTAAACTGGGTATCTGGGGAAATTCTGTTCTTGCCCATTTTTTTCAAAATTGTTGGGAAAATTTTAACGATACATTTCTTAAATATTGTCACACTCCTGTGACAATATTTGTTTTTTCTCGCGTCTTGTTCCAGCGATCGCATTATCACATTGTTTGCAAAACAATGTGCAAGAAAATCGTGAAGTCCTGCCGTAACAGTATTAAGATATGATTATCAAAAAATTAATAGTTTACAAATTATTTAACATTTTATGTCAATATGAGTTACAATAAAGTATAAAATATCTTGTAAACTATCGGTTTTTTATCTCTATTTTAATACTTTTATATGCAGAATAAATAGAGGAATCCTCGTAGAAAATTATACAATTCCATTTTAAAAAGTGGAGATGATCTTCATATCTTCTTAATGTCTCCATCTAAAGAAAAACAACATAATCAAAACACATCTCCTTTGAAACTGTTCCATTTTCATCTAAAACATTTTTTCCTATTTCCAAAATTGTGGATGTTATTCGGATGGCTAGTCTTAGGTGACTCACCCTATATATATATATATAAAAAGTTTTGAACTTCAACATGAAGATGACAAATAATGTCATCTTCATGTTGAAGTTCAAAACTTTTCAAACGATCTTCATATATATATATATATGAAGATCGTTTGAAAAGTTTTGAACTTCAACATGAAGATGACATTATTTGTCAAAACCATTCTGATACTACAATCGTACATGTTTTGCAAGATACCTGTGAAAATTGTAATTATTTTGGACACTCAGTTGTTGTTTGACAGTCATTTG